TTCCCTTGTTTTAAAGGCTGAATTACAGTAAAGTGATGTAAATTTATCAACGTAACACACCTTTATTTGTTTCAATGCCTGCCTTAACCCACTTAGTCGTTACATCCACATTATTGATGATTATTAAACAATCTCATTGTGTTAATATTTTCGGGGAAAAAAAGTCATCCCTCCAACTTTTTTGCATCAGAGAGTGTTTTGTCACAAATATTATGTTCGATTTTGCCACCCACTCTTCTCTTTTTGAGGAGGTTTAAAAATACCGAGATATATATCATGTATTGAGATATAGCCTCAGAATATTGTGATATGATTTCCAGGACATATCGCCCAGTCATACCGACAAGACGGTTGTGGAGGATTTGGTGTCAAAGTGAAAAGCAAAAGCGCCTGTTAGGGAATATTTTTGATTTAAACCCACTGCTGATCGGGAGCCTGATTATGTCAATGAGGGTAAATGAGGTGGTTAAATCTCAAAGAAGTTGGAAGATTGTAGTCTGTTGCCTGCAGATCTTTTTTCTAACAGCTCCTCTTTGTTCCATTAAGCTCTGCAATATTTCTAACTGATCCGCTGTCAAAAAATGCTGAAAACTACCGTTGTTTTGTTGAGAAGTTTTTGATGAATTATAGCAGCAGTGCTAACCTCACTAACAAACACATGCATTTCCTGTGACTACTTCATAATATAAGCCAACTTGTATTTTGTGAAATGCTTTTAGGAAATGTTGGGTTTGCATCAGCAGTAACTACAGATATTGAGCATCATCAACAAATATATTTTTTCTTGTAAAATGTCAAGTGTCATCAGTTTACTAGCCCGTGAAAAAATGTCCTCACCGTAGCATCCTTAGCGTGCCCTCATAGTAATATGAAACACTTGGCTTTATGCTCCTATAGGTGTAGTCCATAGTCTGCAACTTAATAAAGCATCAACACTGTGTAAAGGTACTTATTAATATTACTGAATTCACAAATGAATTTATTGTAGCTGTGGTTAATGGCTCAATCAATATTTGAGAACATGAGAGTCTCTCTCCCTGAGCCTAGAGCCAAAAACCTAAGAGCTGATGATGTAAATCCTGGAACAGCTCCAGAGAGAACAATTGGGAGGAAAATGGTGGTGAACAATGAACTCAGAACACCTAAGGTGATTGTTGCGTTGTTAATGGTATATTTTCCTTTTTCAGAGCTGAAATGCTGCCGTAGAAAAGCTCATTGGAGTTCAGATTTTGAGGAAACATTTTATATTGTCTAGGCTGTCAGTGGAGTCTTTGGCTACCAGCTTTGGGAAAATGTTCATACAGAGAAATGGGACATTTCTGAACCATATGGACAACATGTCAGCTGCTTATGTAATTTAGTTGTTTGTTTTTGTCACTTGTGCGTATCCAACCCCCAGTGTTACGCAATAGACTGTGTGATCCTAAGAGATCAGAAAATCCAGTGACTGAAGGCTGCTTTTCTTTTGATGCAGCTCTGTGACAAAGACCCATTTGTCTGTTACATGACATGAACCAAACTTTTCAAATGTACAAACACATGGTCTGAATTCTGACCAGAAAATTTTATTTTTACAAATACAGAAATTTAAAGGTAAGAAATAAAACTATAGAAAACCTGATAACAAACCAAATCAGTACAAAGTCAAGAACTCATTGAAGTTGATCCTCAATTTAGGTCCCTTTTTTGGTGTCAGCTCACATTGAACTTAAGTAACTGACAGCTTTAAGTTACAGCCACAATGCTCCAAAGATAGACGTGTTACTTTCATTTATATTTATTCAGGAAGTGGTAGAGCTTTAAAAGTTAGGTCCCAGGGTAGTCACCTCCTTCACACTTCATTTGACCAATGACTGATATCATATGGTACAGAACAGAGGCAGCTGGGCCTTTACTAGGTTTAAACTCCCGTGGGATTTGACTGGCTGCGCAGCTAGAGAACAAAAAGTCCCTGTATGCTAATTTAAATCAAACAACAAGCTCTTTGCTGGAATATTTGTTTAGCTTTATTGAATGTTGAACACACACAGCGTGTATTGTGTACAGTTTACGGTCTTATTATTTATAAGGTCCCATTGTTCTTTGGTCTTGATTGAAATAAATATTTCATGCATTTTCATATGTACATTAAATGAATCTAGAGAGGTGTCACTGCATTTTGAAAAAGATAATCCATCTACAAAGGGTGGTATGAAGGTAGATTTATGGTGCTCTACCAAGACTACCATTTTGCAGGATTTTTGGTGCTTGTAGAAATTAGTGTTGTTCCCATGGTTGCAGTGTGTGCCAAATGACTGTCATCATTTTTGAAAAGTTTTATTCCCTTGTTTGGTATCAGCACATTTTCATCAGAGCTGGCTTTCAAAACATTTATTTCCTCTTCCTTACTGTCACCAGTTGAGTTTCCTTGTGACTCATTTTGTTCTAGTTTTTGTTGTTCCTCCAAAGCTCTTCCTGTCACCGTGATACACTCCCATCTCTCTTTCACACACATTATATTGCTTCTTTTTAATCTCAGTCTCCTCTGCCTGTTGAACATGAGGTGGTGTGAACACAGCCTCTTTATTTGATGATGCAACTCAGGAAGGGGTTGGTAGTGCTTGGTTTGATGCAACAGACTGTTATCATGAACAAATGACCGTGCATAGAGATATGACTCGTCAAGATTCAAGACTCATCCCTAATACCTCCAGTCTAACCCACAGAGTACATGTGATGTAAGCATGATATGCTCAATGTGCTGCAGCTACATTGTAATGTGTTGAATTGTTTTATAATCAAGATGGAACGATTCTGTATCTACTACCTTTTGATTTTCATTAGCTTATATGGAGATCCTGAATCATGCATGATCCTCTGTTAAGCAATTACTTTTTCAAACAAAATAAAAGGAAATGTATTTATTCTGCTATACCAAAAATTTACCCAAAATCTGTGGTGTGTAATTTTAAGAATTTGAGATCACAAACTGTGACACATTGTAGTTATAATTTAACTTTATTTTGCCCTGTCATATTATGACTAAATGGAGAGACAATAGACCCTTTTAGGGCTGACGGCACTCGC